CTAACAGAGCTGATGTAATTTCAGATAAGGCCAAAGATAGTCCAGGTTTGGGTTCACCTCTGTAGTCTCCTTACAAGAATGCAGGGTTTCTACTGGACTATTGAAACACTGACAACATGCTGCCCTTCCCCTTTGTGATGTTAATGGCACTTTAGGGGAGGGAGATCCCCACCCTCCCACTAAGAAAATCTCAGACCCTGACCATGTCTGAAATCCTGATTTATGATCAATAAATATACATCAATGTACAAGTAATTCACAAGTCATTGAGATCCGGCCTGGTTCATCATTTTAAACAAAATGTCAAAGCCCCATCCATTTATTCTGGGCTTGTTCTTAAGCTGAGATAGGTTGTATGAAGCTAATAAGAAACATTTTCCAAACTGCCACCAAGTGGCCAGAAAGACTTCAGGTTATTGCTAACATTTGGGTGTACTTGGTTCTTTCTCATCTGTCTCTCTGTTTTCTGTTCTTCTCCATCTTTCTTTTTTTCTTTTTAATTACTTTTAAAATTTTTTAAATGTTTATTTTTGAGAGAGAGAGAGAGAGAGTCAGAGTGTGAGTGGGGGAGGGGCAGGGAGAGAGGGAGATACAGAATCTGAAGCAGGTTCCAGGCTCTGAGCTGTCAGCACAGAGCCCGACGTGCGGCCCCAACTCGTGAACTGGAAGATCATGACCTGCGCTGAAGTCAGACGCTTAACCAACTGAGCCACTCAGGTCCCCCCCCACCCCCATCTCTGTCTTTCTATCTGCCAGTCTCTCTGTATCTCTGTCGGTATATGTATGATATATGTTATACATACATCTCTTATACGTAGATGTATACATACACATACATATGTATTAGGGATACCATCACATGCAATTATTATGACTCTTTTAACTAATTCTCTATTTTGGGACATATAAGCTGTTTCTGATATTTTGCCATTGCAAGTAACACTGCGTGAATGTGCTTACGCCTAAACCCTTATGGGCATCTCTGATACCTTCCTTAAGGTAGGTGACAAGAGGTTGAATAACCCACCAAATGGGTTGACTTCCAGATGCTCGTTTTTGAATCCAATTATCAAACACAAATTTATGCTGCTGCCAACAATTTATGAGAGTGTCTTCTCTGCCCACACTAGTAATTTTCTATTACAATAATTTTTCTCAATTTTATAGGTAAAACATGATAGTTTAGTTTTAATTGCATTTCATTGATTCCTGGTGAGGTTAAATATTTTTCAGATTTGCTGTCCATTTGAGTTTCTTCTCATTTGCATTTCATGTTCCTTTTTATTTCACATTACCCCACCGCCCACAGAATGCTGCCCTATGCTCCGACAAGTCTCATCTCTGCTTTTACCATGGAGGTAAGTAATATCTGCATCCCACGGAAAACCCAGCATCGTCCAATGCTTTGCAGACAGAACATGTGTGAGAAAAATGCACATTCACTAGGCCCGCAGGTGGCTTGGCCAGCCACATCTGTCATCTCTCCGACGAGGACGCCTGAATTCCTCCCAGAGCTATAAACCTCACTTCTCACCCGGACTCCGGACACCATCACCCAGGGGCCATGAGAGCAGGAGGGGCTGGCATGTTACCTAATGACTTAACCAGGTGAGGTTCACATGCACTTCGGGTTTTTACACGATTGTGCCTCAGAGGAAGTGCTCCCTACTGCTCTGGGGAAACGGGCAACTGTAAATCAGGTAACGATATGGCACTGACTTATTTATCCTTGTAAGAGTTTTACATTCTGAAGTCAACAAGGGGCCCATCGCCAGATCCACGGCCAATTTGCAGTCATCACTTAGGGGAAGCTTGATCCCCCTTGCTCAGCCGGAGGGCATGCTGGGGGCTTGTAGGAGCCAAGGTTACCTGTAGTGCCGAGCCAGATCAATCGATCCTGTATCTTGGTCTGGGCCAAATGTTATCTTCCACAGACACAAGGCAGAGACGGGAAGTCACTAAACGGTGGGGAACTTTCCCTCTTTGTGCTAAGATGCTCTTTCTCTCCTTTCCATTTGTCCCCTGAGTTCCTTCTCCTTGAGGGAATGTTTGCCTGGACAGCAGCTGCACCCTGAGAGACGTGATGGTGAGTCATTCAAGTAGAAGTAGACATGGTAAAAGAGTTTGTGCTAAAAGACATGAATAGATACTCTCCAAAGAAGACATCCAGATGGCCAACTGACACATGAAAAAATGCTCAACGTCATTCATCATCAGGGAAATACAAATCAAAACCACCATGAGATACCCCCTTACACCTGTCAGAATGGCTAATATTAACAACTCAGGCAACAACAGATGTCGGCGAGGATGTGGAGAGAGAGGAACCCTTTTGCACTGCTGGTGGGAATGCAAACTGGTGCAGCCACTCTGGAAAACAGTATGCAGGTTCCTCAGAAAACTAAAAATAGAACTACCCTATGACCCAGCAATTGCATTACTAGGTACTTACCCAAGGGATACAGGTGTGCTGTTTCGAAGGGACACATGCACCCTAATGTTTATAGCAGCACTATCAACAATAGCCAAAGTATGGAAAGAGCCCAAGTGTCCATTGACGGATAAATGGATAAAGAAGATGTGGTTTATATATACAATGGAGTATTACTTGGCAATCAAAAAGAATGAAATCTTGCCATTTGCAACTACGTGGATGGAACTGGAGGGTATTAAGCTAAGTGAAATTAGTCAGAGAAAGACAAATATCATATGACTTCACTCATATGAGGACTTTAAGAGACAAAACAGATGAACATAGAGAAGGGAAGCAAAAAGAATATAAAAGCAGGGAGGGGGATGAAACATAAGAGACTCTTAAATATGGAGAATAAACAGAGGCTTACTGGAGGGGTTGTGGGAGGGGGGATGGGCTAAATGGGCAAGGGGCATTGAGGAATCTACTCCTGAAATCATTGTTGCACTATATGCTAATTTGGATGCAAATT